TACCTATTTGTCTGTCTATCCGTCTATCAATCTACCTATTTGTCTGTCTATCCGTCTATCAATCTACCTATCTGTCTTTCTACCTATTTGTCTGTCTATCCGTCTATCAATCTACCTATCTGTCTTTCTACCTATTTGTCTGTCTATCCGTCTATCAATCTACTATCTGTCTTTCTACCTATTTGTCTGTCTATCCGTCTATCAATCTACATATCTATCTTTCTACCTATTTGTCTGTCTATCCGTCTATCAATCTACCTATCTATCTTTCTGTTCATCTATCTATCTTTTCTGTTAATCTATCTGTTCTTATATATATCTTTATGTTTATCTGTCCGTCCGTCACCTATCTGTATATCAGTCCGTAAATCCATTTATCTTTCAATCCACTCGTCGGTCTATCTCTCAATCCCTCCCTTAATCTATATACAATTTATCAGATATCTTAGCCCTATTTTATTGGTTCCTTAAATATCTATTTTACCTAAATATTTCCACTTTAACTCCACGTGCACTTTTTACGATTACTGTGCAAATTTATTTTCAAACTATATATTTCTTGCGAGCTATTCACACATCTATAGAACATTCAGCTTAACAGGAGGAGGAAAAAAAGGGTATTTCTTAAAAGGAATTGATTGATGCTGATTATTTAGTTCATCTCTCTATGGAACGTACGTAGTCCCGTTTTCTTTAAAGTATCTTAACAAAGTGTTTGAGCGGGACGTGCACGTAAAATCGAGTATTCAAAACCTCACTGTTTAAAATGAGGCAGGCCTAGTTTATAGTCTGTCGAAAGGCAGTTGCAACTTTGTGAAATAGTCAACAAGAGTATTAATAGGGGAGAAAGACGGATTAATGTTGAAATTTAGTTTTTTTACAATACTGTGTCGAACAGTTTAGTGACTGCCGTAGATAAGTATCCAATTATGTGTGGAAGTCACAATTAAAATGTTCACAGAATTCTAGTAAATAATCAAAGTCGAATAATAATAATACTTTGAAGATGATGGTCAGGACCTCTTCTGATAATGTTTAGGATCACTCGTGGTGATGGTTCGAATATTTTATGATGATGGTTAGAATCATTCATGATGATGATCAGGATCTTTCACGATTAGGGTTAGGGTCTTTCATCGTGATGATAAGGATCATTCATGATAATGATTAGGTTCACTCAATAACTCAATGATGATGATGACCAGATCATTGATAATGATGGTTAGATTCACTCAATAATACATGATGATGACGATGATAGTTAGGATTACGAATGATCAGGATTTTTCATGATGACTGTTCCCTATGGGATCTCGATTATCAGAGCATCAACTGAAAATAAAAAAATATATATATAATTGTGTATATACGTGTCTAATCCACTTAGTTTAAAACTTAATTGCAAATTTAGTAATAAATGCACACAATCATTAGCGAAATGTTAGCAGTAAAAATATCATAAGTTATCTGGACCGTTTCGAAAATCAAGAAAACTTGCCTAAACAAGAATTATATAATTGTATAATTATATTTTTATATATACTAATTACTTTTACCTTGGTCAATTCTCGTTATAGCTATTAAATTGCCCCCTAGTGGCACAGCGGTATGTCTGTGGACTTACAAAACCGGGTTTCGATAGACGTGGTGGGCAGATAGCCCATTTTGTAGCTTTGAGTTTAACTTCAAACAAACAAAGCTCTTAAATTAGAGTAATTATTCTGGTCTTTTTTATAAATTTAACTATAAAATTCGATCTGTAGCCCCAATATATACAGATCTACGTACTTTCGGGATATTCAGTCGCGCAAAGTCATAGACAAGCCCAGTTTATTGTAGTTGGATTGTTTACGGAAAGACCTGTTTATTGCAGTTGGATTGTTTACGGGAAGACCTGTTGGATTGTTTACGGGGAGACCTGTTGGACTGTTTACGGGAAGACCTGTTGGATTGTTTACGGGAAGGCCTGTTGGACTGTTTACGGGAAGACCTGTTTATTGCAGTTGGATTGTTTACGGGAAGACCTGTTGGATTGTTTACGGGAAGACCTGTTGGACTGTTTACGGGAAGAACTGCTCACAATTTTTGATCTTCAGCCAGAAAAAACACAAAAATACTTTCATATCACTGCGACAAAAGTGCGCATGTGCTACTATGAATGTGGAAAGAGGAAAACAATTTTACTGATTTTCATATTAAAG